GATATTGTCCAAGATTAACCTTCAGAGTGGATATAGCTCGCTAGCAACCTCGCACCAAGGACCCATCTTCGTCAACATTTACCCAGAATGCCTTGCGTGTAAATAAAATGGCTCCATCCATGTAATATATTTTTTAACTTTTTGTTTAAAATGATAAAAACTGAACATCCTACAGTATTTTTACAGTCTTTATTTTACAGTTGAAGTATATGTTTATTAAATAAAGTCTAATGTTACAACTAATCAGGGATCCCTTTAACAGACTTTTCCATTGACTTGTGTTTGTTTTATTCCAAGGATTTCTTGTCCACATGAGGGCAAAAATACAAACAAAAACAAACAAATGCACATTTTTAAGTGGTACTACAGTATAAAATGCATGTAAAGAACTAAAACAAGGACTCAAAAAAATTAAGTTGGTCCTCTGGACGTTTTTTTTTTTTTTTTCTTCTTTTTCTTTAATGAAACTTGTCGTCTCTCCTCTAAGAGACTTCTTCAGTCTGTTTCTTCTTCGGTGAGTTCCAGGTAAACTCAGCCTAATAAAACAAGGAGATTTGAAGCTCATGTGCTGAAAAATTTCTCTGATTTTGCAGAAAAAAGGCTCTCCTGATCAACAATGTGGTGGCGATGGTTGCTGCCTTACTCATGGCCTTCAGTCGCATGATGCAGTCTTTTGAGATGATCCTGCTGGGAAGACTTCTCTATGGATACAATGTTGGTATGTGAGTAATATTTGCTGTCCCTGCATGTTTCTCCTCCTCTGCTCATCAGGTTTGTCTCCACAGGTCTTGGCTTCTGTGTTCACCTCATGTATCTTGGGGAGAGCTCGCCCAAGGAGCTCAGAGGTTACCTGACTCTCACCAGCGCCACCTTCATAAGCTTGGGGAAAGTCACAGGCCAGATAATTGGCATCAATTAAGAAATCACTGTAAATAACTCAAAATATATTTTACTTCTGATGTTTTCTTTTTCTTACTCTCAACATACATTTTATCTGACTTCACTGTCTTTATGCTACGTTTAGGGAAATCATGGGWACAGAAGAAATGTGGCCGTATCTCTTAGCTTTCAGTGGTATTCCAGCCATCCTGCAGTTTGTGATGCTTCTTTTCTTCCCTGAGKCACCTAGATATCTTTACATCGATAAAGGAGACATTGAAGGAAGCAAAGAAGGTGAGAAAACAGAATCTGATTTGTGGTTAAAGATCATAGATYTCATTTTAATTTTATACTGTAAGTCACCTGTAATCTCTGTTTATTACAGYTTGATGAGTCATGGTCTGTTCGTTTGAATAAAATTTGTAACTGCATTTAAATTCTGGAACTGGGAACCTCCAGATGGTGTATTTAAACAGATTTAAACAAGGCCAACAATTTCATTTTAGCTTTTATTGAAGCAAATAAATAAGAATCTAAATAAAAGGCCCCTTTTCTCCCCCAGCCACTGTTTTTTTTATACTTATGCTACACTATACTAGGATTTATTTTTAACACAAATCTGTTTCAGTTAGAAGTTAGTTCATCCATCCATCCTAAAAATGAAAGTATACTGTGTGTGTCAGCCTTGCAGTGGCTGTGGCAGAAGGACGACTTAAAGCTGGAGCTGGAAGACATGCAGAAAGAAAGAGAGAGCTCACAGGAGAAGAAGGCTCGAAYGGTGAAAGATCTGCTCAGCTCTCGCTGCGTCAGGTGGCAGCTGCTGACTCTCATCATCCCGTGCGCCGGTTGTCATTTGTGCGGCAACAGTGCTGTATGTTTGTTGCAATTTTGTCTTTTACAAGAAAACAACTAAACAAGAACTTGATTTGTTTCCCTTTGAACCAGTTTGATGGTCTCCCCTCTATTCACATTTTAGCTGTACTCCTACGCCTTTGACATCTTTCATGAGGCTGGAGTACCAGTGACCCTGATACAATACACAGCTATTGGTATTGGAGCAACAGAACTAATCGCCGTACTGTTATCTGTAAGTTTATTGTGGAAAGCAACTTGAACTAGATTAAATCTAACTACATGGTTTTTACACAGTTTTTATTTCAAAATGTTCAGACTTCTTGGCATTTTTTTATAAGTACAAACAGTTCCCTGTATTTGTGAAACATTTTCTGACCAGATTTTTGTGCCACAGTCCTTCTTGATAGATCGAGCAGGCAGAAAGAAGCTGATGGGCTATGGCTACCTACTGATGGGTGTAACCATGTGTGTTCTTACAGTCACRCTGTCCTTGAAGGTAAAAACAGTGAGGCACTGCTGTCCTTCACCACACCTTGTCTTAAAGCATATATTTTAATTGATCATTTTTCTCCACAGGATATGAATCCACAGATCCCATACGTGAACATCACCCTGATCCTTTCTGTCATTTGCATTTATGGACTTGCGCCTTGTGAGTTTTTCATACCACGCTGTTGATATTTCAGCACCACTATCGATAAATTACAGGGAACACTGAAATATAAACATAAATCTCAGTAATCCAGGTAGAAAAAAATGTAAATAGGCCCTCTGGCCCTCTTTAATAAAACGTTTCAGTCTGCAGAAGTCTCATGGAGAGGACCTACTTACATTTGTTTTGAACACTGCAATAACACATCCTAGATCTTAGTGAACAAAATGTTCCAGTTGAAAAATGTGAAATGCATTAAGAACAAATTAACCTGAAAATGGTCAATCAAAATGATCATACTCATCCTGTTCTTCCTTGCACTAAGCAGCAGMTACCAGTCCTGCTGATGCATTAAGGACCTGTGACAGTCCTGTCCAGCTCTCCTATAGCAACTGCCTGTCATCTGAACTGTGTGTGCACCACCACTGTAACCTGACAGCAAGAGGCCACAGAGGCCTGAGGTTCAAAGCTGGAACTAATGCCACTATGATAGCAGACTGTGGCGCTGTGGGAGGGAGAACAAACAAGGAGTCACTGAGGGAAYGAACGCTCCTCCAATTTTGTGCACAGAGAAAACTGAGTTTGAAACCTGGTTCTTTAGTAGTTTCCGCTTAGGTGTGGTGCTGCTTCGTACAGGAGATACAAGCTGAGAGCCTCACCCTGCTTCTTCCTTATGCTGCTAGCTTGCTGAATGGCTGTGACTGCATCTCCAAACAGGCCCACGATGGGTTGAATGGGGAGTCCATGCCGATCTGTTTATCCAGATCCGCCAGAGTGATCTCTCTCCACCACCGCTAAGCTCGTACTACGGCCACAGCCCTGCACACCTCTGAAGACACGAAGTATTAGATCTGTCACAACGCAGATCTCCTCCCAAACTGCCAGACTCGGGGTGCCCTTATCTAAAAGGACCCCCATATCCTGAAACAGCTYTGCTTGGAGAGTAAGTATGTTCATATTTGTAATGGACTGAGCTGCAGACACAGGAGACTGGGCAGAGATGGGACTCGACATCCTTGGTCTTGGACTTGATGTTGTTTTCCTGTTTGCAATCAGATTCGACAGCTCGAGGTCGTGACAGAAAGGCCAATGGTGAAGCTCAGTAATTTTCCTCTGTTTAAGAGCTACAAATGGTAGATTTTAAATAGAGGAAAAACCCGCAGTAAAGATTTTTTTAACAAAAGTTTATCTTGATGAAAAATTGTCAAAAGGTCCAACACACCTGAAAACCCCACTTGCTATTAACTTTGATGACTGAGTCGGCGAAGAATTAAATGACAGCTGACATTGATTAACAACYCCCTGGTCAGCTCGTTATCCCCRAGGTTTATCTGATTTGATATTATACACTCTGATTAACAGGTGTTCCTGTAATTTTTTTGTCACTGTATTTAAATCTTGAATTGTCTCTTCTAGCTGGAGTATCCGTGGTTCTCCCTGCTGATATTTTTCTCCAAGTCTGGCGTCCTTCTGCATACGTGATCTATGGGATCGTCAACTGGTCCAGCATATTTATGACTGGGATGCTGTTTGGATATATTGTGGTGAGACATCAACAGAGTGTCCATGGGCCTCATGCATAAAGGATTGCGCAGCTTTCACACTAAAAGTTGACATACGGACAAATTTAGAAATGTGCGCCGCACCAAAATATTCAGATGTATAAAACTGTGYGCACGCATGTTCCTGCGCACCTTTCCTTTATACATCCCAATGAACGTGGAACTTAGCACACATGAGACACCTCCCCTGACACGCCTCCATTTAAATATGTAGAATAGATGTAAATGTGTCCAGCGTGTGAGATTCTCCTCCGATTCCTCTCTGTGGGATCAGAAATGATTTTTAGATGCAGGGAAATTATACATTAAACGGAGAATGAGTTAGAAAACTGTTTAAATAAGTAGTGGGGTGACATTGTTTTATGTGGCGCATTCACACAGGATAACCAAAGCCTGAGATTTTCCTGAAATTTACAGACATCTCCCAAATGTGATGTTGAAGTCTGGTTAGTTGTTGTCTATTTAGTTGAACATGGCGTTGAACTGACGTTTAAAAAAAATGAATAAAAATGAAATTAAAAATACTTTATAAACATTACGTTATCCACTTTTTCTGCTCTCCTTTGCTCCTGCGTTACAGCAGGCGCGGGTATCTCCGCGTACAGACCCCCACCCCCACGAGAGGGTACGAGTGGTAGCCTACGGATTTTTAGCAAAAAAAAAAAAACATAGATTTTTGAGGCTCATTAGACAGGTAAATGTCCAAAGGGGTTGACACATATGAACACCTTCCCAGCTGGCGAGGGGCTCGAAAATCTACCCAAAGCGCGAGCCTGCTGCGCTACGGCCACAACTCAACTCAGCATCAGCCAGAAGGTTACACACAGAAAAAAAAAATTATTCTTACCGTACAGTGAGCCACCATTTGCATCCGACTTTTCTCCCTCTCTTCAGCATTTTTTAATTTTATTATTATTATTTTTATGTTGCACGTAATGTGTCAGATTTTTCCAGCCCAGGACCCAAAAGGTTTTCAACTATGTGACAAAATATAAAACCAGTTTACAGACTGAACTGAGGTTCTTTTGATCATTTTTAGGCTGATCTATTTTCTTGTCTGAGGTTAAATGATTTTCAGTCCAGGGGATCAGTTTCTTGATCGTTCGAGTTTAAACAATAAAAACTCAAACTAAAAAAAAAATCTGACACCGTGTTCACATGCTCCTTACACCCAGAAAACACAACAAAGTCATATTTCTGTAGATTCAGGTCAGATTCGTGACTTTGTGATTTAAAACTGTCAACTGAAAAACTTTGCGTGGCTGTCGCACACTCTCACGGCAGGTGAAAAGTGTGCGTAAATATACRCACACTTTCACGCAACGTTGGTTTTGATTCATCCCAATGTGGGCGTAGAACCTGGCGCACGTAACTTTTTTGTGCGTACGCACCCTTTATACATGAGGCCCYAGATCTCTACTTGTGCATCAGTATTTGTTCATGAAACTCAATCATTTCTTTTYCTTGTCTCCACACAGGAGGCACTCGGACAGTTCTGCTTCCTGTTTTTCATGGCTTTCTGCTTTCTGAGCGGTGCTTTCGTGCTCTATTTTGTCCCAGAGACCAAAGGAAAAACTGCAATAGAGATTACAGAGGATTTTAACAAACTGAATTACAAGAATGGAAAAAGTGGCGTTGAAAATATTGAAGCTGCAACTAAATTGTAAGATAAGATAACTTTGCTGTCCAGCGCATTTACAAGAGATGGAGTCTTGTCTTTGATATCTAAAAAGTGCACAGTACATGAAGTATGTATTTGTTCAYACTGTGTATTGCACCAATAACTGCTGAAGCTTGATGTGTTTATGTGTAAAGCAGAGTTCTTTCATATCTAGACATTAGGACATAATTTGCTGAGGAGCTTACAGTAATTTTCCACAGAACAGTTGTTCTTTTGGCTACACCTTCAGAATGCTTTAATTGACCTTTTCTACTTTAATTTATAAATGCCTACTTTCAGCAAGATAATTCTGAAAGTAAAAGTAACACCTGTATTTTATGTTGATTATTTTCTCACTGATGTTAGTTTAATACAAAAAATACATTCACATTTAGTAAATAAACACTAAAAGACTGCTTCATTTTTCTTTTGTTTTTGACACTTTCCCAAAGTAAATAACAGTAATGATACAGTATAATCTTTGTCGAGGAACCTGGCTGTGCCAACCATCCCGAGGGTTGGAAACAGGCCAGCAGAGCCTCCCTTTAACTCCCAACAGAGAGGAGGACATGACAGAAAGAGAGGCCATAAGAGGGACCGGGATGCAGGCCCAAAGGAAGAAAAAAGCAAGAAGAAGAAAGAGAAGGAGTAATAAGGAGTAATAAGTATTAATTTTGATTGATTTTAATTTATTTTAATGCTGGCAAATAAATAACAAGTGTGATAATTATATGCTTATCGCAAAGGGTGATTTAACTAATGTACTGTGATAATGTGTTTTAATGTAAGATGGTGATTTAGAAAAGAAGTGTTATTGWATGTCTTAAAATGAAGAAAAGGTGTGTGTGCGACATTTGGACGGTAAAAAGGACAAACTGTGCTATAAGAAAGAGGAAGTGGGTTTTTTGTCTGGAAAGTCCCAGAGGCCCTGTAATGGTGCGTTCACACCAAACGCGATTTCAGCGTCAGGAGCAGCAGGTTTACATGCAAAGTCTATGGTGGAGGCGCTTCAAGCAACGTCGGGAAGT